TTGGTCCCAATGAGTTTGAGGATTGTGCTAAAGCGTTATTCAAGCTTCACCAGACAGGTACACTCAAAGATTATATACTCGAATTTCAGCGTTTGGCTAATTGTACCACTGATTTGGGCCCTATACTATTGAAAAGTTGTTTCCTAGGGGGTCTTAAGCGTGAACTTAAATATGATGTGAAATTGCCGTCCTACTGATGTTCATGAGGCCATTTCTTTTACTATGCAACTTGATGCTAAGTTCACTGATCTTAGGGTTGGCTATACTAAGATTACTCCCAATTTTAGGTTTCCTACTACATCTTCCCTTACATCCAACCCCTTACCTTATAGACCACCTAACTTGCCTATCAAGCACCTTACCTCTGAAGAAATTCAGGGAGAGAATGTAGTGTTGGTTATGTGATGCAGTGTGTTAACAAATAGTTGCTTATGCTTAATCTGTTAGACACTGAGAAGGATAGTGAAGAACCTATAAGTTAATTACAGCCTGCCCTCCAACAAATGGAACTTAGTGAGTTGCATTCTATGACACTACTGCTAAGTAAACCATTAAGACAATGAAAGTTGAAGGTATAGTTAAGGGTCAACTTGTGAAAATTCTCTTAGATTCTGGTAGCACCCACAATTTTGTGGAATCTAGATTACTGAAAAGGCTTGGTTGGCAATCTTAGACAACCAAACCATTTGAAGTGATGATAGCTGATGGAGGAAGGGTAAAAAGCTATGGTTGCTGCCTTAATACTCCATTAACCCTTGGTGGATATAACTATGAGATAGATCTATTTGCTCTACCTCTAGGAGGTAATGATCTAGTACTCGAGGTCTAATGGCTTTCTTCCATAAGCCATGTCTTCTGGGATTTCCAGCTTATGACTCTTGAATTCTAAGGGTAGTGTCCAATATAAACTCATTCATCTAGATAGTGGTTATCCCCTCATCCAAGAGGTTTCTTTGCACCAACTTGATAAAGAAATCAATAACTCCAATCTAGGGCTCTTTTTATACTCCATGGAGGCCAAGAAGTTAGAAACCTGTTATTTCAATCTTACTCAGTTATGTGACTTACATAATATATTGGGAAAATTGGGAGACATTTTTGGCTTGCCTACCAAGTTACCTCCCTCAAGGGATCATGATCACCAAATTCCCTTAATCCCTGGTGCTTAGCCTCCTAACATCATGCCTTATCACTATGGACCACTCCAAAAAATTGAGATTGAGATGGTTGTCAAAGAACTGTTAAATGTAGGTTTCATCAGGCCCAATCACAGTCCATTTTCTTGTCTAGTACTCTTGGTCAAGAAAAAAAAAGGGCACCTAAAGGGTTTGCATGGATTATACATAATTGAATTCTATAACCATCAAAGACAAATATCCCATCCCACTCATTGATGATCTTCTGGATGAGCTTTTTGGAGCTCAGTATTTTCCAAACTTGATTTGGGGTCTGGTTACCATCAAATCCTCATGCATCTTGCAAATATTGAACAAACAAGTTTTAGAACACATGAGGGTCACTATGAATTTTGAGTGATGCCCTTTGGGTTATTCAATGCCCTCGCCACTTTTCAAAATCTTATGAATGATATTTTCAAACCTCATATGAGGAAATTCATCCTTGTATTTTTTTTTTTATGACATTCTGGTTTATAGCAGGAGACATTACTTTTAGCATTTTACAGAAACATCAGCTTTTTGTCAAGAAGAAAAAATGCGCTTTTGGTCAAAGTAGGATTGAATACTTAGGGCACATTGTTTCCAAAAATGGGGTTTAGGTTGACCCTTCCAAAATCAGGTGTATTGTGGATTAGCCTATTCCTGCTAATGTTAAAGCTTTAAGGAGATTTCTAGGGTTGATAGGGTATTACATAAAGTTTGTCCCAGGTTATGGTAAGATCTCCCAGTCTCTTTACCAACTTACCAAAAAGGGTAACCTTCATTAAACCCCTGAAGCTACAATGTCTTTCAAACCCTTAAGGACATTATGGCATCTCCACAAGTCCTTACACTGCCCAATTTCAGTCTTCCTTTTGTCCTAAAGTGTGATGCTTTTGAAAATGGCATTGGTGATGTGCTCCAGCAGCAAGGCAAACCCATAGCTTTCAACAATGAAGTTCTAGGTCCAAAAATCAAGCTCTATCTACATATGAAAGAGAGCTTATTGCCATAGTACATGTAGTGAAAAAAAAATGGCAAAATTACTTACAGGAAAGGCATTTCATTATCAAAACAGACCATAACAATTTAAAGTATTTTCTAGATCAAAGGGCCGAGACTATTCCAACAAAAATAGGTGTCTAAATTGCTAGGTTTTGACTATGAGATCCAATGTAGGAAAGGAACTGAAAATCTAGTAGTTGGTGCCCTATGTAGATTGCAAGAGCCTATTTCACATGATGCAAGTCATTCCACTACCATATATGACAGTATGTGCTTGATGGCTGTGACTTATCCATATTATGGGTGGTTAGATAAGTTGAGAAGACATAATGAATATGATGAGTGGATTCAGGGCAAATTGCAAGAATGATCAAGTATGGATCCTAGCTTGGCTACCAAGACTACTACATCTAAGTTTAAGTTTGACAATTACTTTCTTAGATACAAGTCTAGTATTATGATGAGTCCCATTTCTCCCTAGAAGGCTAAAATCATAGAAGAGCATCATGACACTCCAGTTGCAGGTTATCAAGAAGTACTCAAAACATACCAAAGGATAAAGAAAGGTCAAGTCGTATGTAGCACAATGCAATATCTGTCAACAAAACAAGTATGAGACCATATCCCCTCCAGGATTGATTCAGCATCTACCTATTCCCCAGCATGTTTGGCAGGATATTAGCATGGATTTCATCACAGGGCTGCCCCCTTGTAGAGGAAAAACTGTGATTTTTGTTATGGTTGAAAGGCTTACAAAATATGGCTTTGGCACTTCCATTTATTGCATCCTTGGTAGCTCAAATGTTTGTTGACAATGTTTTGAAGCTTCATGGCATGCCTGCCACCATTGTCATTAACAGAGAATCAATTTCCCTAAGTGTCATCTGGAAGAAGTTCTTCAACTTGCAGGGTTCTAAGCTCTGCATGAGTTCAGGCTACCAGCCTCAAACGGATGGGCAAACTGAGGTGGTTAACAAGTGTAGAGACCGATTTGAGATGCTTTGTTGGAATTCAACCTAAAAATGGGTGGAATGGTTGTCGTGGGCATAATGGAGCTATAATACATCTTACCATTCATCTTCAAAATTCGCACCTTCTGAATTGGCTTACAATTATCCTCCTCCCATTATAACTGCTCATGAAGTTGGTACTACTAAATTGGACTCAGTGGAGCATTGCTTGCAAGAAAGGGATAAGAATGCAGGCTAACAAGCACAGAACTGAAAAAGAATTCTATGTGGGGGACTTTGTGTATCTCAGGTTAGTTCCTTATCAATTACAGACTTTGAATTGTTACTCCTTCCACAAACTACATCCTAAGTTTTATGGCCCTTATAAACTATTGGAAAGTGTTTGTACCATACTTGACCAATCCCAAAACTACTGAGCACCGGTCAACGTTATACCGTCAAGGACCCAAAATAGTTTCCCTCCAACCAAGAGGCCAATCACAGCACGACATGTGTCGACATCAGAAGCCAATCATAGCGCGACACGTGTCAACATCAGAAGCCAATCACAACACGACACGTGTCAATGTCAGAATGAAACTAGAAACTCTCTTCTATAAATAGAGATCATTCTCTCACAATATTTCCTAATGTCATTTGTACTAAATCATTCACTTGTACTCACTAAATGAGAGCTTGAACCTATGTACTTGTGTAAACCCTTCACAATTAATGAGAACTCCTCTACTCCGTGGATGTAGCCAATTTGGGTGAACCACGTACATCTTGTGTTTGCTTCCCTATCTCTATCTGTTTACATACTTATCCATACTAGTGATCGGAGCAATCTAGCGAAGGTCACAAACTTAACACTTTCTGTTGTACCAAAGTCCTCACTGATTTTGTGCATCAACAGAAAGAATTGGTCATGTGGCTTATAAATTGCAGTTACCTGAGGGCTCTAAAATTCACCTAGACTTTCATGTTAGCTGTCTCAAGAAGCACTTGGGCAATTTGGTTCAACCAGTTGCGGTGTTACCAAATGTCACATGGGAGGATTTAGTTCAAGTGCAGCCTCACTCAGTGCTAGCTCGGAGGATTTACAAGAAAGGACAAGCTACATGAGTGCAACTGCTTATGCATTAGGTTGGTCAAGGTGCTGAGGAAGCAACTTGGGAAGATTTCGACGAATTTCAAAATCAAGTTTCCAGAGTTTCAGTTGTGAATCTTGAGGACAAGGTTGTCATAAGGGAAATTAACTTGGCTGCTGAACAATTTAGCAGCCAAGTCTTGTTCATCATAAGGGGGAGTAATGATAGGATCCTTTATTTAGTGACTTACTTAATCACTAAGAAAAATAGTTTTTTTAATGTAATTTGTTATTTTGTCATTTATGGAGTCTGTTGGACTGGAATGCCTTGTTGGCACTTCCGGGTCCAGTCCCTTTAGATGGAGCAATAGCTCTCTCACTTTACCAACGGTTATATGAAAAATATATATTTTTTTTAAAATACACAGCAAGTTTTCTGTGCTCTTCTTCTCCATTCTCCATATTCCTCCATTACTGCAACAGGATGAGGTCGAAACCCAGCTCCGGTTAACTGGTATCTATCAGAGGTTAGATTCTTCTGGGTTTGATTTTGAAATCAGGCTTTCCATTTGAAGAAAGCGTCTGCTTCAGTAAAATTAGCAGAATCGAAAGCAACATTTTGCGCGGAAATAAGCTTGGCATACAAGATAATGCAGGCTAGAGAGCAAATTTGATCAAAGTTGAAGATGCCATTCGTTTTGTTTTGGTGAGAAAATGTAGTTCAGGTGGCTAAATTTATAATGCAATCTTCTGTTACTGCTCTGTTTCGATGTTGAATTCACACAGTGCACCGCAAGCTTCAGAGCTAAAGACTTCTGACTATAGAGATGTCTCCTTTTCTTTCTAATCATTAAAACTCCATCCATTTGATCAACGGTGCATTTTGTCGTTGAAACGAAACAAAAATAATTTGATAGGCAAGCCGTAACCACCTTGCAAATATCTGATGGCACACAAAGAAGTAAAGAACTTACAAAATTACAAGACCAATGGAATTCCTAAGTACCATTACTTACGATGATTTGAAATTTCATAAGAAATTTCGTGCATGGTAGGCCTAAACTCTGGATTTGCATTTAAGCATACAACCGCTAGCTTTAGGATAGTAAGAACTTCATCCAGAATTTTACCAGTCGGATGCGCAAGGCGATAATCCAACAAATCCGGCAACATTTTGTCTGTCCTGATTGCAGATGACAACAAAGACTCCACTAGAATGCTAGGGTACTTTCCTTTAATCACTTCCAGTGATAACACCCCAAAGCTGTACACGTCGCATTTCTCTGTCACCTTCATTGTGTAAGCAAGTTCTGCGACAAAGGGTAAACATTTTTTTTAGGAGAGATGTTGCATGAAATCGACACTTTAACAACACAACATGTTTAAATTGTATAGTAAGAAAAAATTTGTGGACTATTATATACTATGTATTACCTGGTGCTACGTATCCAATTGTGCCTGCAACCGCAGTCCAGTTAGATGAGTTATAATCTAGAACCTTAGCAGTGCCGAAGTCAGAAATCCGAACTTCATATTCATCATCTAGCAACATGTTCTTGCTGGATATGTCTCGATGAACAATTGGTGGAGACACGTCAGAGTGCATATAGGATAAACCATGAGCCACACCTTTAATGATATTCACCCTCTTACTCCAGTCCAACTTCTTAGCTTCCTCATCATTGGCCAATATTGAAAACAAGCTACCCCTTTCAAGGTACTCGTATATCAAAAATGAGTGCCGCGAATGTTGACAGAAACCATAAAGCTTAACAATGTTCCGATGGCGTATCTCAGTTAATGCCCTTACCTCGTTTAGAAACTCTTTTCGATTGCTCCACTCACCACCATCACAAGGGCTGTGGAGTTTCTTTACTGCTACCAAGTCATCCGAGGGCAGCATTGCTGTGTAAACACTTCCAGCTGAGCCTCTCCCAATGCAATATTTAGCATCAAAATCCTCAGTTGCTTTTATGATTTCTTCATACAATATTTTTCCATCAAATATCGATATTGCGAGCAATTCGAACTCTTTGGGTTGAATGTCACTTTGTTCGTTTTGTTGGAATTTCCTTTTTCTTCTCAAAGTGATATAGATTCCATAGAAAGCAATTATAAATACCCCAAAAGCAGGAAGCATGATCAAGAAGCACACAAAACCAATTTTAGAGTTAGGCTTCTTTTTTCTAGGACTATTTTTGCAGGGCTGCAGACCTGTAACATTCCCACACAAACCTTTGTTCCCTTGCAATGCCTCTACTGGAGCCTCCTGAAATGCTTTGTTGCTTGGAATCGGACCCCATAATTGATTGTATGATACGTCGACAAACTCCAAGCCACGAAGTTCCTCAAAAGCACGTGGAACAACACCAGAGAGGTTATTGTGAGAGAGATTTAGTGTCACCAAGCTTTCTAAATCACTAAATTCAGTTGGTATCCCTTCAGCAAGCGAGTTATGACTCAAATCTAGTACGGACAGCTGCATTAACCTCCCTAACTGAGTCGGAATTTCATAGCTCAACTTGTTGGCGCTCAAATTCATGTGGTGCATTTTCACAAAGTTCCCTATGCTGCTTGGAATTGACTGGCTCAAGTTGTTAGTGGACAGGTCAAGATACTCAAGATCAGTCAGTGATCCAAGTTCTTGTGGTATACCGCCCGAAAGTTGATTTTCATTGAGTATAAGCTTCACCAAAGAAGTAAGCCTTCCAAGTTCCATAGGGATCTTCCCAACTAAATGATTTGAAGAAAGATTAAGCAAATGTAGTTGAGTCAAGTTTCCAATCTCAGCGGGTATGAAACCAGTAATATTATTCCCTGCAATCTCAAGATTTTTTAGCCGCAGAGACCTACCCCATTTATGTGAAAGTTCACCATAAAATCTGTTGTTGCTTAGATTTATGTAATCCAAGTTCGGATAAACACCAAAATCTTCAGATATGTTTCCAGTGAGCTGGTTTCCATCAAGGCGGAATCTGTACAAGGTTGTGCAGTTCCTCAAGCTCTTGGGGATTCGACCTGTGAGACGGTTGCCATTTGCAGTGAAATTCATAAGCAGTCCACCCCGGCAAAGGCCCTCTGGCAAACGACCGGTGAAATTGTTTCTGGCAAGCCTCAGAACAGCCAAGTTCATGAGATTTGATATCACTTGGGGAATGGAACCTGAGAGGCGGTTGTCTCGTAGTTGTACAACTTGTAATCTGCTCAAATTCGCGATCGACATGGGAAGAGGACCACTGAGTCTATTCTCCATGAGATTTAGAACAACAAGAGACTTAAGCTGGTCTATTTCTTGAGGGACTGAGCCATTTAACTTGTTTTTATTTAGGTACAGGTTCTCGAGATTTTCTAGGAAACAGATTTCTGGTGGAATTTTACCCGACAACTTATTATCCGAGAGATCAAGATATATGAGTTTCGAGAGGGAGCTGATTTGAGGTGGGATGGAATCAAAGAGCTTATTCTTGCTGAAATCAAGGTATACAAGATTAGGGAAGGAGACAAACGGAAATTCTTGTAGCCTACCTTGTAAACCGGAGTTGGTAAGGTTTATCTTGCTGACACTTCCTGCAGGGTTACATGAAATCCCAGTCCACATATTACATGGGTTTTCATTAGCTTTTTGATTTCTTGAAGAATTGGTGGCGTTGCTGGGAAGGTAAGTCCATGAGCTTAGATTTTGGAGCTGGGTTTGGTTTTGAATGCTGGCTTTCCATTTGAGAAGAGCCTCTGCTTCATCATTAGAACTAGCAGAAGCGAACGCAACGTAGTTTGGTGACAAAAGCAGCAGAACATACAAGATAAGGCAATAAGCAAGAGAGCATACCTTATCACCAGTTGGACTTCTCATGGCTTTTATTTGAGCATACAGTGTTTATTCAGGGCTTGAAGGATTTATTTGCAATGCCATTAGATGTTATTCTGCCATCCTGCTTATTTCAAGATGGTGTGCTGAAGACTTTGAAAATACTTCAGTCAAACACTCAAAAGTCTTTGGGAATGTTTGTCTCTTTCCACAAATTGTTCTTCCATTGCGACCTTTGAATTTTCTTGTTGAATTACATGAAAATAATAGGCATTTGGTCCAAGTGAGGGTCCATTCCAAGTGACGGTGAAAACCCTCTATTCATGAAGGAAGTTAAGGCTCCACAAAAAAATCAATTAGCAGTGGAGAGAGTAACCCGACTCCTTATAAACCCTTGCAATGTTTCTTAATATTCCAATCACATCCTCACAATCTGTTTGACATTGTGGCACAGGGTACCGGATGGTCGCCATCATTGAGCACCTCTCGCAGGACAAGGCGTATTCACACCTAGAAATCTTGCAGAAGTCGGTACATAAAACAAAAAAGAAAAGGGAAGAAGTCTTAACCTTCTCACCGTGGCCTACAAACTCACAAGCCGCAAGCATATAAACTCAGATTTTTCTCTCTAGTTGCTACATACGTACTTGCTATCCGCTTTTAATTTTTCTTTTTTTGGTGCTAACTAACCCGTTTTTTTATTCAAGCGATAATCTACACTAAATTAATATAAACTAAAGGAATCGAACTTTGGTGCAAAACCAAAAGAAAAAATTACTCAAGCCAACTTGACTACTTGAAATAGTAAGGTTATATATCTAAATTTACATGACATTAGAAAAACAAAAAGAAAAACGAAAACAAATTATACCAAGTCTGCACCAGAATTATAGTATATACATATATACCACAGTTAATATGGAGATTAGCCAAGTTAAAATCCTCTCTAAATTCCTCACCTACTACAAAAATTCAGCGCTCTACCTGTCCCTTCTCTATATCGGAGATTTCGAGTGATATAATCTGAGAAATGTCGTACATTGTCGGCCTAAACCGAGGATTTTCATGTAAGCATGCAACTGCTAGCTTAAAGACAGTAGTAAGTTCAACCAGAACTATATCTGTGGGTGGTGCAATGCGATCATCTAACAAATCCCCGAGCATTTTGCCTTCCCTGAGTACTGGTGATAACAATGACCCCATTAGATTACTCGGGTGCTTTCCTTGAATCACTTCAAGTGCCAACACGCCAAAGCTGTAGACGTCACATTTCTCAGTTACCTTCAATGTGTATGCAAACTCTGCCAAAAAGGTATAAGTAGAACAAAATTTAGATGTCAGACAGTTTTCCTTTAGAGATCTGCCCAAGAGCATATAAAAGGAAATGATCTTATGTCTAATAATATGGCATGTTCTGCGTCAGATTATCTATTGATCCGGTGAATTTTTCTCCGAATATGCAGTTCAGATACAGTTTAACAACGTACGTAATGTAATGGAAAACCAACAAGAAATTACCTGGTGCTACATATCCAAACGTGCCTGCAACTGCAGTCCAGTTAGAAGAGTTAATCTCGAGTAGTTTAGCAGTGCCAAAGTCGGAAATGCAAGCCTCATATTCATCGTCCAGCAAAATGTTCTTGCTGGATATGTCTCTATGAACAATAGGCGGGGACACATCAGAGTGCATGTAGGATAATCCATGTGCCACGCCTTTAATGATATTCAGCCGTTTACTCCAATCCAATTTCTTAGCCTCCTCATCATTGTCCAAGATTGAAAACAAGCTACCCCTTTCAAGGTACTCGTAAACCAAAAACGAATGTTGTGAATGTGAGCAGAAACCATAAAGCTTGACAATGTTCCGATGGCGTATCTCAGTTAATGTCTTTACCTCATTTAGAAGCTCTTTCCGAGTGCTCCATTCACCATCAGATGGAGTGTGGAGCTTCTTTACAGCTACCAAGTTATCTAAGGGCAGCTTTGCTTTGTAAACACTGCCAAACCCCCCTCTTCCAATGCAATATGCATCATCAAAATCCTCAGTTGCTTTTATGATTTCTTCATAAAACAACTTGCCATCAAAAATTGAAATCGTGCGCAGTTCGAATTCTTTAGGCTGCATGTCACCCTCTTCTGTTTGTTTGCATTTATTTCTTCTTAGTAAAGTGATGTAAATTCCACAAGCAATTACAATTGCCCCCACTGCAGGTGGCAAGATTATGTGCACAACTTTGGAACCAGTTTTCGATTTATGCTTCTTTTCACCAAGACTATTGTTGCAGGGCAGTAGACCCGTAGCATTGCCACACAAACCATTGTTTCCTTGCAATGCTTTCACGGGAGCCTCTTGGAGTGCTTTGTTATTCGGAATTGGACCACATAACTGATTGTTTGATATATCGACAAACTCCAAGCCATGCAGGTCATCAAAAGTACTTGGAATAACACCAGAAAGGTTGTTGTGGGAGAGATTTAGCGTCACCAAACTAACCAAACTAGAAAACTCAGTTGGTATCTCTCCAGCAAGAATGTTATGACTCAAATCCAGCACAGACAGCTGCAGTAACATGCCCAACTGAATTGGTATTCCATGGCTCAACTTGTTTTTGCTCAAATTCAGGTGGTGAAGTTTTGCGAAGTCCCTGATACTACTTGGTATCGACTGGCTCAAATTGTTTGCGGACAGGTCAAGATACTCGAGCTCAGTCAGTGATCCGAGTTCTTGAGGTATACCACCAGAAAGTTGATTGTCATTCAATATAAGCTTCACCATAGAAGTCAGCCTTCCAAGTTCCACGGGGATCTTCCCGACCAAATGATTTGAGGAAAGATTAAGCAAACCGAGTTGAGTCAAGTTTCCAATCTCAGGTGGTATGGATCCAGTGATGTTGTTCCCTGCAATCTCAAAATCTGTTAGCTGCAAAGACTTGCCCCATTTGTGTGAAATTTCACCGTAAAACTTATTGTCGCTTAGGTTTATGTAGTCCAAGTTCGGATAAACACCAAAGTCTTCAGAAATATTTCCAGTGAATTGGTTTCCATCAAGGCGAACTCTGTACAATGTTGTGCAGTTTCTCAAGCTTTCTGGCATTCGACCTGACAGACGATTGCCATTTGCAGTGAAATTGTTAAGCCTCCCACTTTTGCAGATGTTCTGCGGCAAATGGCCAGTTAAATTGTTTCTGGCAACTCGTAACACAACCAAATTCATGAGATCTCCTATCACTTCTGGAATGGAACCCGAGAGCAGGTTGTCACGAATATACAAAACTTCTAATCTGCTCAAATCACCAATTGAAATGGGAATAGGACCGCTGAGCTTATTCTCCATGATATTTAGAACAACAAGAGACTTCATGTTCCCAATGTTTTCCGGTATAGGGCCTGAAAGATTGTTCCGGTATAGTTCGAGCACAGTAAGGTTCATAAGGTCACATAAGGATTCCGGGATAGGACCTGAAAGGTTGTTGCTGTAAAGGCTGAGATGGCTGAGAGATATCAGATTCCCTATTTCTAGAGGAATAGAGCCAACAAGCATGTTTTGATACATGTATAAAAATCTTAATCTTTTTAAGTCGACAAAAGTTGGTGGGAAGGAACCTGTGAGATTGTTGGTGTTCAAGTAAAGCTCTACCAAATTCGAAAGGTTACCAATTTCTAAAGGAATGGAACTATTAAGAAAGTTCCTACACAAGTTCAAGTAAGTGAGATTGGTTAAATTTCCGAAAGAAGAAGGAATCGAACCATTCAAATTATTAGCGGACAAATCAAGATGGACTAGTTTGGAGGGTTGACTGATTTGAGATGGAATGGCACCAAAGATCGAGTTCACGCTGAGATCGAAGTACTCAAGATTCGGGAACAAGGAGAATGAAAATCCATCGAGCGTACCTTGTAAGCCAGATTTTGTGAGGTTTATTTTGGTGACACTCATGGCACCATTGCAAGAAATGGCAAACCAAGTGCATGGACCAGTTGCGTTGGAAGGGTGCTGCCATGAAGCTAGGCGTGCGTGAGGATCTTGAAGACCGGTTTTCCATAGCAGAAGAGCAGCAGCTTCTTCAGCAGACGTAGCAAAATCAAATGCTGATGAACCGAAAACAATCAAGAACACAAAAAGGAAGCTCAGAGAGCTGGAACAGTTCTTAAAGGTTGGTGATGGAGATGCTCCCATGGTGCTTGTAATGGCTTTAACATCCCACAGATGTTCTTGTTAACAAATTTATGTACAGAGTTTCAAAAACTTGGAAAGCTTACTTCGTTGTTTTGCAAAATTTCTTGTGATGAGACCAATTAATTAAGACTTCAAAACTTAAAAATGTTCTCGGAGAAAATTATTATTATCCATATTTTTAGTCAACTTGTTTTTTCAAAATTTATATTGGAATCTGACCATTGAATTTCTTTGATATTTGACAGCATAGAATATTTCAGAAAATACTGAGCCCATAAAAATTTCTTTCATATTTGCACGTTTTTGTTTAAATTATAAAGAGAATCTAATATTGAATGAGTCCAACATGTTTTTTTTAATAATATGAAGTCAAAAGAGAAAATCGTAGTGATAGTCCCTCAACTTTAACTCGTTTGGAGAAAAGATCCATCAATTAAAAATTCATGATCATTGGTCCATTGACTCATCAAAACGTGCAGTTATGGTCATTTTCATCAACTCCATTAGAACTTCAACTAAAATGAGTCACGTGCATGGCATGTGAGGCCAAATCAAGGATCAAATATGGAAAACCAATGAGAAAAATTGTAACGGTCTCTCAACTTTAACCTAATTTGAGAAATGGTCCATCAACTTTAACCTAGTTGAAGCAATGGTCCCTCAACTACAACTCAGTTGTGGCAATGATCCTTCCAACATAACCCATTTTGGTGGAATTCTGACGGATTTGAGAAAATGGACCATAACTGCACATTTGGATGAGTTAAGGGACCAATAATCATGGATATTTAGTTAAATGATCATTGCTCCAAGAAAGATTACGATTCTAATTTTAATATAAAATTCCAACATTGAACAAACTATGACATTACAGGCAATTTAGTTGACCTTTTGTTATTATATTTCAAGTTGAACAAGTTAAGTGAGCAATAGAATAACACGTCATGAAACACGCAGCACACTTCGGCACTGCC